ACAGGAACTCGTCTCCGACGCGAACCAACACGTGAAGTCGGCGCTGGCCTCGGTGATCATGGGACTGTCCCCGATCCTGGGCAAGGACAACACGGTGGAACACCTGCTGCCGCTGTTCCTGGCACAGCTGAAAGACGAGGTACACCTGGGGTACACCTGAACACACCTGGGGACACCTGAGATACACCTGAACACACCTGAGATACACCTGGGATAGACAGGGATACACCTGAACACACCTGTGACACACAACACCTGCTGCCGCTGTTCCTGGCACAGCTCAAAGATGAGGTACACACCTGTGACACACCTGGGGACACCTGGGGACACCTGGGATAGACAGGGACACACCAGAACACACCTGTGACACACAACAGCTGCTGCCGCTGTTCCTGGCACAGCTCAAAGATGAGGTACACACCTGAGATACACCTGAGATACACCTGAGATACACCTGGGGACACCTGGGATACACCTGAACACACGTGTGACACACGTGTGACACACAACAGCTGCTGCCGCTGTTCCTGGCACAGCTCAAAGATGAGGTACACCTGGGGTACACCTGAACATACCTGAACATACCTGAGACACACCTGAATACACCTGGGATACACCTGGGATAGACAGGGACACACCTGAGACACACAACAGCTGCTGCCGCTGTTCCTGGCGCAGCTGAAAGATGAGGTACACACCTGAGACACACCTGGGGACACTTGGGGACACCTGGGGACACCTGTGACACACCTGTGACACACCTGTGACACACAACACCTGCTGCCGCTGTTCCTGGCACAGCTCAAAGATGAGGTACACACCTGTGACACACCTGAGACACACCTGAGATACACCTGAGATACACCTGGGATAGACAGGGACACACCTGAACACACCTGAACACACCTGAACACACCTGTGACACACAACAGCTGCTGCCGCTGTTCCTGGCACAGCTCAAAGACGAGGTACACACCTGGGGTACACCTGGGGACACCTGGGGACACCGGGGACACACCTGAGACACACCTGAGATACACCTGAGATACACCTGGGGACACCTGAACATACCTGAGACACACCTGGGATACACCTGAGACACACCTGAACATACCTGGGATAGACAGGGACACACCTGAGACACACCTGTGACACACAACACCTGCTGCCGCTGTTCCTGGCGCAGCTCAAAGATAGGTACGCACCTGTGATACACCTGAACATACCTGAACACACCTGGGATAGACAGGGACACACCTGAGACACACCTGAACACACCTGAACATACCTGAGACACACCTGGGATACACCTGAGACACACCTGAACACACCTGAGATACACCTGTGACACACCTGAACACACCTGTGACACACAACACCTGCTGCCGCTGTTCCTGGCGCAGCTCAAAGATGAGGTACACACCTGAGACACACCTGAGATACACCTGGGGACACCTGAGATACACCTGAGACACACCTGAACACACCTGAACACACCTGAGATACACCTGGGGACACCTGAGACACACCTGGGGACACCTGGGATAGACAGGGACACACCTGAGACACACCTGAACACACCTGGGGACACACCTGGGCACACTTTGAGGTGTTCAGGACACACCTGAGGAGCCGCCACCTGCTGCCAGTTCATCCCAGTCCAATCCCAGTCCATTCCAGTCCATCCCAGTTCATCCCAGTTCATCCCAGTCCAATCCCAGTCCAATCCCAGTATAAACCAGTATAAACCAGTCTAAACCAGTATAAACCAGTCTAAACCAGTATAAACCAGTAACTCCCAGTTTGTGCAGTGTCCCGAGGTGCGGCTGAACATCATTTCCAACCTGGACTGTGTGAACGAGGTGATCGGGATCCGCCAGCTCTCCCAGTCCAATCCCAGTCCAATCCCAGTCCAATCCCAGT